CATTTTCACACTTAGGCTTTAGGTTCCCTATATATAAAAAGTTAAGTACATGGTAACATTTGTTTAAAATTAAAAAGCATGAGATAAGAAAGGTCACATAGTTATAACGGACCATTAAAGCTTATATTCGAATCTAGATATAAACAAAATTCAACTTTAAAAGGTCAAACTATGTACCTAATCCTTTTACAACCATCAATCAACTGTTCATGGCACTCTCTTTTGTTCTTCACTATTTTTAATGTAAACAGTGCCATGACCAACATTAGCCAACAGATAAACGTCTACTAATTTCCTTATCAAGCATGACACATGTCCCAGGTCACTGATTAGTTACAAGTGCGTGACTCTAAAGACAAATATCTGCTGAAATGTTTTAGTTATGAGATAATCTAAAGCACAGTTTGTGGGAAGAAACAGTCAGAGATCAATGTTATTTTTTTTTGTGCCATTCCAAAAAATAGTTATCAAGAACAAAAACCATATTAGACCCTTTGAGATGAGATTGATTACTTCCCAATGTTTTTACCATTAACTTTTGTTTATTTAACCAAAGAAAAATAAAGGAAAAGCAAAGGTCGGTGCATTCAAAGTTCAACAAACACCTCTCCCAAACAGAAGGACTGTTAAATCAGCTTGCCTTATCTATTTTATCTATTTTGTACCAAACAAACTTACCACTCAGCATATTGCGCAAATCACAATATTTGACAAAAATAACACTATCTAAGAACGCATGCACAGAGAGAGATTGTTGAATTTATTTGTAAGACATGGAGACAAACCGGTGTATGTCATTTTGAAAAGGTCAGAGGTGGCTGCGTTACCTCATCAGGGGGAAGAGTGAAGGCCATGCAGACATTAAATGCAGTTTTAAACGTGCAAAAAGAACTCAGAACCCTCCAACTCATTCACATTTCATCCCACTCAAAACACAGAAATTAATGCATTTTATAAGAGTTTTATGGGATGACAAAATAATTCATAATGAAAGAAAAGGGAAGATAAAAGAAAAATATTCTGTTCAATCCTGATTACAATGTTTAAGATGTTCCCAGATGAGAGTAAAATGTAGCTTTATAGCTTAAATTTAAAATGCTATGAACATGCCATTTAAAAGGAGACATGGTAGTGGGTGTGTTATGCTGAGATTGGAGCCACACCATATTAGGAAACCTTGAGATGGCCTCAGTATTAGTAAATATTCACAGGGATGCCTTGCAGCTGACATGTTTATTTTCTTACTTTTCTCTTCTGTATGCCCCTCCTTCTTGGTTTTGTAGCATTTTGGGTCATGCATTTATGGTACTGTGAGCATTTACAGTTCTGAAATTCTGATAAACCAGCAAAATATTCCATCAACATGTAAAATGCAAGTTCAAAAAGCGTTATTTTATAATGCATAACATAAAACTCAAGAGCTGGCCAAGTAATCAATATCAATACTAGAAAAGCACTCAGAGACCAGACATCTGCCAAGCTAAAACATGTTGCCCCAAATTGGGACTTACACCTATAGCTAATACTCCCACATGATCTGGATCATTATAGAATTTAAATTAACTGTTGCTTGGCATAAGGCCCTGCTCTGGTGACATATGTCCATAACATCCATTCATAGGGTTCAATTGATCCTGCTAACAATCCAATAACATTCTCTTTTCTTATTTTTTTTCACTTCAGCAAAGTTCCTCTGGACTTTTTGAGTCCAATGCTGAGGCTGTCAATAGTCAGTGCTGCCACCCTCTGGTTTAGTGGGTAACTGCCTGTTGCACCAAATATTCCTGTCTCACAATGTAAGACAGAAGTCACGGATTAGTGGACCAGGGTCCGGATCCGGACCCAACCTGATTTAAAACATTTACAAATTACTGCATGTTGTCCGACGGCAGTGACTAACTTCACTTGCTCCGCTTCTCCTGTTTGTACGGTTAAGCCCTCCAGAGCGTTCAGGACCAGGCTACACAAGATAGCCGGGCGATGGGAAAGAAGACTAGAAAAAGGGAGAAGAGAAAGTGTAGCCTGCTGGAAGAACTGCTGTGGACTGGTGACAGAAAAGTGAAATGGCGTGCCCTAAGATAACCCTGCACATTTTGAGTATGTTTGACTCAACCTACTGCTGAGAAGCAGGATAAACATAACCAAAAATAAATATCGATCCAGGCTCAAAATGAGCACCTCGATATGTGCTTGAGAATGGCTTTGTCTCCATTCAAACCCAGGTTTAAAGCCTTGTAGGGCAGCCTAAAGCCCACTGCTCTCATTAAGCCATTAAAAAAAAAGGAAAGAACAAAAAGAAAACGGTCAGTTCAGGTATTTTATAAAATATATGAATCAGGACATTGTCTATACCAATGCATAAAAACCTAATTTTATTTCAGTATTAAAATCTGTTAAAAGTAACAGATTATAATTAAAAATGTCTCGGGACATTTACTGGTTGTTGATTTTCTTTATTTGGAGCCGGCTGATTTTTAATTGGTTACCCCTGATGTAAGAGAATCTTTACACAAATTCCTGGATCCAGATTATGATCTGGATCATGACCAAAATTTAGTTGATTGTTTCTTCGCGTGAGGGAAAAAATGTCATTAAAATCCATCCATATCTTTTCAAGTTATCCTAAACAGACAGACAAACAAACAACCTCTCCTAAAAGCATTACCTCCTTGGCAGAGGTAATGATAACCCATTCCCATTGGCCGAAAACCTTCTTAAACCCAGGAAAAAAAATCAGCTTTCAGTGGCAGTGGGAACAGCTCACTGACCTGTGTCTACCTGGATCGAACAACTCGACAAGCGTTAAAATCGCCCTGGGCCCTGATCAGCATGCTGTGGGAACACCAGAACCAGGTTAGCCCACTAATTTACGTGGGACCATTGAGTATGTCGACACACTGCGCCATTTGCATCTAATCAAGGAAGCGCCTACAACTCTGTTTGCACACTAACTACACCCTGGCTTCCTTACACGTTGCTCTCCATTGTTTACTTTCCTGGTTTTTGTTGCACTGGTGACACAATCAATGTTAACCCAGCGTGATGGGGTCACCAGACACGCAGCTACAGGGGGCAGAGGCCACACAGCCACCAGAGAGGGGTTAGACCCAGCTTTTTTTTGCCAATGGGAAGGGAGCCAAATACTAATCGTTAGCGGGTCAACCATGTTTGAAAAACACATGTTAACCCAGTATTTTCAGTGAGAAATAGGCTATAGACACTTGATCATTATCAGAAGGGGAAAAAAAAGTTTAATAACTCCACTTAGCTCAGATCCAGAAGCACAGGGTATTCTAGGAGATGTGGGCAGAGTAACAGATTTAGTTCCTTAAAGATCCTTGAAGAACAACCTACAGAATGCTTCAAAGGCTTGAGGCAGAGACCGTTGGTTAACCTTGGAGCAGGACAAAACATAGAGCCAGAACAACAACAGAGCTGCTTAGATCATATCCACAGCCAAAGCCAGACTCAAAACCCTCTGAAAATGTTTGGTAAGATTTGAAAACTGATCTTTAGAAAGTCTCTCTGTTCCATCTTACTGAGCTTGATCTGTTTCTGCACATGAGAGTGGTCAAACATTTCATAGCTAGTCGAGACCGTTTCCCCTATTTGCAGCACTAGGAAATGTATCAAAGCATTGGCTTCGATGGTATTAGCTTAATAAATCATAAATATATATTCTTAATCTCAAAACCACTATATGCAACAAGCAGATCGCTAAAACCTGCATGGACTGCTATGAATGTCAACTCAACAGTTGTGTTTTGTGCGTTCATGCTCTCTATGCTTCAGACATATGTGGTGACAGCTGATGTTTAACTGACTATAAAAGGTTTTTAAAAATTATAATTAAGGAACTAGAGCAAAGATGTCTCAATCCCCAAACAATGGACTTTAAGTAGCTCTAAACCCAAAGCATAAATTGACACCTCCTAATTTAATATCACAAGTTATATCATCGAGCAACATTTAAAATCACCTGCTTACTTTCTAAGCTGGTTTCATCTCGTCTATATACATATGCAGATTTCATATATGATTTCAGATGGCAACAAAAATATAAAAAACAGTGCAACACTTTACCTCCCCTTCCCAATTATACACTAGTTTGTGTGGGTCCTTAAAAAAAATCCCAATTGAAACATTGATAATGAACATTAATGTTGTTACAAAATGTAAAAAAAAATGACTATGATTGCCTTTAAGGTCCTGAATATGTCCATACAGTATCATCATTGTTCAATGGCAACTATAATTTGTGTTTTACAGCCTCTCCTTATCAAACAGACAGTAATCTCAAATGAGTGTCCCTTCAGGCCCAGAAGAGGTGACAGGCAGTCCTTTTTAACCTGATCCATATATAGTAATTACCTGTCTGACAGTAAGAATCATCTAAACACATTCAAATACAACTAAAACCACAATGAGGAGGTATAACTACAGCTCAGCCGGTTAAGAACTCCTCTAAAAACAATGCAGCCCGATCATTCATAAACCTGCCTTTGTTTTCCTGTTGCATTCAGCAACAAGGAAATGCTAGCTCTTCATTCCAGTTCTCGAAACACCCGGAAATCCAGCACACAGCGCGTCCATTCCGCACACCGTGCTCAGCACCCGGAAACGGGCAGAGCAGCAGCTCCACAGTCCGGCGGGTGTTAGCCGCTCAATAACCGGGGCTCAGGCCACTGCATTCAGGGCACAGACGGGTGTGACAAACCCAAACTGCGGCTAACAACAGCTACCTATAAAAATAGGTTTTAAAAAAACTAGATATAAGCTGATAAAAAAAACGTCCACATCTCTCCAGGTTTCTATCGTTCACTCACACCGTTAGCCGTTGGTTATGGAGGGTTCGCTGCCCGTGTCCACCAACAATAACACGGCCTCCCCTAACAAGCTCCAACCGGCTGCAAACATTAGATTCTTGCAATGATTTTAACAACCTCTGTAGTCCCACATCTTTGCCGTTCTTTTATCGATAAATACCCAGACAGCCTTACCTGTCCACCGGTCCTGCTGTCCGGGAAGGACCCCGCTGACGCGGATGCTAACAAAGGCCCGAAAGCTGTCTGGAGCGGAAGACCCACACAAGGGGAGGAAGGAGGCCGGCGGTAGAAAGGTATACTGCCGCTTCAGCTGCACAAAAATCCCCTCATTTTATCTCTCCCTGACCGACTAAAGATGCAATATCTGTGTCGGGGCGTTTAAAACTAACGTCTTGTGAAACAGCGGAGCGAGTTGAGGTGATACTCACCGGCGGAGAGGGTGGATGGTCGCGGATTTCGGCCCCAGTTTCTCTCTGACACCCCGGGCTTTCACTCCGACAACATGGCGGCTCGGCGGAGGAGCAGGCAGCAGCGCCGCATGACGGGAAGGGATGAGAGGGAGCGTACGGTTCATTGCGCGGTTGGCAAGCCGTTATAGTATTTAAATCACACAAGAAAATACTGTGTTATGATAATTAATTCTTTCAAACTATAGGGGGAATGGGAATTATAGGTAACAGATAATGATGAATAATACATATAATTATTATTTTAATTCTCCTGCGAGACTCAAAATATTTATTTCTCTTGAGTGCAAAAGGAAAATAAAATGATGAAGATAACTAAAATGCACTTCTAACCACACAGCCTGGTCATATGTTATGTTACTTTCAGGCAGACTGTCAGTATTTAGTAAAAAGTCAGACATAAAACATTTAAAAAAACGTTTGCAGACACAGAAGAGCATTGTCTTACATACAAATACATAAAGTAGGCTAAAATAAATGTACAGACTAGTTGGTTGTCTAAATCTTTTTTCTTCGAGATTAACTTTTTCCTTTAGTCTGTCCTAAACTTGCAACATGGCTTCATAGGACTCTGAAATTATTGAAATGCTTTTATTTTTGGTGTGCTACCCAAATTAGCGGCCCCCATCTGGCAATCTCTCACAAAACTTTCTACTAACATTACTTACTACTTACTTATAAATACTAAGTTACTTACTTAGCATTAGGTAATGACTGAACTTGATATGCCTTGCATATATTATAGATGATTCTATTTGCAAAATGTAACACAATAAAATCAAGAAAAGCTTTATATTTAGTGCCATTATCAGTTTCACTGTCGTAAATATCTGATGACAGGTCAGGTCTTGATCTGATTTAATCTGAGTCAAACTTGAGATCAAAAAGAACGTACACTGAGTTTCCCATGTTGGAAGTTAGGGTCTCCAGCCAATCCCATTCTCTGCTTCTAAAGAGCTTCTGCGCACATAAAACATACTGAAAGTTAGCTTAGCAAACTGCACCTGATTCCTTAGATTTTTAAAGCTAAGAAAGAAATCTTTAGAATAGCAACATCAACTTAAATATTGCTTTTCTACTTGTTACAGTAATTGCTGTGTAAAAATTTTAACTGGTCACAAATTTATATTATTGGTATTTAAGGTGGAAATAGGAATTTGAACGTTTGTTCATAAATAAAAGTTATTATTAATGCACAGGTAATAGTATATCTGTATTCTGTTGCTTAAAATTGGACCAAAAATACCTACATAAGCACATAATGTTCATTTTTGCTCTCACACAATGCAATGCACTGCAGCAAAGTGGTTCTTTCGTCACAGTTAATAAAATGATGAAGAAAAAATGCATCTCTGGAAGTGGATGGTTAATTACTACTTCCCTTTTATATTATTAATAATATTGATAACATCAAACTATTGCAAGGTGGCAGGACAAAACAATTGTCTTTCAAAATATTTGCATTATGAGATATTCAAATGTATTCAAGATTTTATTCTTGAATAGGTGAAACTCTGTTTTGTTGCTATTTTTGTAGAGATTTTAAATGTATATTAAAGGAGACAATTCTCATGTTAGCAATAATTTACTAAATCTACCAAATGGAAATAGAATTTCTGCAAGAGCTTATATTTGAGAGTTATTATTTCCTGCAGTTAATAGCACCATGTGTAATTAAAATATCGCAGTTCCCTTATTAAAATATTTGGTTCTGTTTTTTTTTTTTTTTATTATTTTGGATCAATTGAAAATTAATTCTTGTGTAATATCAATGTTTTTTTAGATATCTAAAAGGTCTGTTTCTCAGTTTAACCATGGGCTGCTCTGAATGGGGGCCAACAGGGGCCAGTGCCCCTGCAGAACCGGTCCTGGCTCCTTTTATGGCTCCTGGGGGGCACCAGGTACTTAGAGATTCACTTCCATACAGAAAGCCATATTCTTATCTTCAGCTACCACATACTTCAGCGATAGTATAAAGGTGTTACTTTATTGTATATCTTGTAACATGTCCGTTGGTTGTGCTGTTCTTTTTACATCTTAGCAGGTGATGAAGCAGACTGAAGATGTTTTGTCATTATCTCCCTTTTATCTCTTTTTCTTTCATCTTTTCTCCTTTTTCTGTTTTTCCTTTCCTGTTGTACTGACATTGCAGTGTCCATATAATCTTTAAAACTCCCTGCATAATTATAATAAAGCTATTTATATGCATAAATCAAGTGGAACACTATAGCGATAACCGTACTGCTCCACTTGTGAAAGTAAAATCTGTTAAGCTCTTTTTTGGCATCAAGACAATTATGCTTATTGCCACATTGCCACACAGGACACTGTAACATAATAATAATACTAACAATAAGAAGAAGAATAAAAAGAAATAAGAATAAAAAAAATTAACCTTTCTCACAATTATATGATAAAGCGGCTTTCTATACCTACTTTAAACACAGCTAGACGGGGGGGTTTCACATCGGACCGGTCCCTTTGTTAACTGTTTTGTCTGCTGGTATTGTTCGCAGTATTTGTTATGGTTTGGATTTAACCCTAATTACACAAATAATACTGTTCAATAGAGTCAGCTCAAAAAAGTGAAATATAGCCAGAAAGGTGCTTGTGTAAACATTGAAACAATTAACTACTCCAGTTTTAATCGATAGCAGGAAACTTGCAATGAGAATTAAATGTAGAAAGCTCTCCAGGTCGTTGGGCTGTGGTGAGAAGATGTATCGTCGTGCTACACACACAAAGCAAAACGGGTCTCCAAGGTAACGAGGCGCGTGCAGCCATGGCAGCGTGCTGCACCGCGCGGCCATCCAGTGCGTGGCTCCAGGACGCCCCGTTAAATCTCTGGAATGTGAAGCGGGTGGCACGGAGGGGATAAATAAAGATAGAAATTAAAAATAAAAACATCTCAGGGGGATTGTGGGATGTCTGCGTGCCAATCCGGAGGCTACAGAGAGAGAGAGGCTGCTGAGGCAGGATGATGTAATGTAGATGCAAAAGGCTCCTCCATAAAAAAAGCTTACCTTTAGAGAAATATGGAGACTTTTAGGATTGACTGCAAGCTGCTTGCACGCCTGACGTCATGGATAAACAGTTAAAAGGATCGTATAAACAGCGTGGTAGCAGCAGATCATTCAGTAAACCCTGGTGGTTAATAAATAAGTAAACATTACAGGTTACCTCGTGTTGGAAAGAATTGCAGTCCCAGATTACAGAAACCCCCATTACAAGATAATATTTAAGGCTTGATTAATCATTTATTACCCTTCTGTTCTGAAATATATAGCAGGGGCAGACAATATTTGTCATAGATGAGGGAGTTTTTTTTAAATGAATGATTTTTGTTCTTTTTATGATATGTTTGGGCATGTATTTGTCACACTCATCCCCTTAAAAACTTCAGAATATTTATACCTGTGTGTAGATTACCAGGATTAAACTCTTTGAGATTAAAATGGAGGACTGACCCAGGCAGCAGAATGACAGCTCCAACACAAGTTGGGACAAAAAATTCTACATTTAAATCAGTGCTTAGTCATTACATGGTGTGTGTAGATTTCTGCTAGAAAACTGATTATGAAGATGGATTTAGCACCAAAGTGATTTGGAAGATCACCAGCTCCAGAGCCCTGCACTCATTCTTTGGGGGTGATATGAACAGGGATGTGGAGAGATGGCCTTACAATCCTAGAGATTTGGAGAAGACGTGCCAAATAAAGTGGATCTGAAATAACAAAAATAAAAATACTTTTATGAAGGAAACTGTGGGGTATGAACACTCATGTGAGTAGATTTTTGTTTATATTTTTTACCCGAAGTTTCCTTTTTAGCAAATATGTAGAGAGAAAAAAATCACATTAAAAGGTGCCAAAAGTTTTTTTAAACAGCTTTATAAGTTTTCCCAACTTTGCAAAAAAAACAAAACAAAACAAATCTCATTAATTAGCTGCTTAAACTTTGAGACTCGTTCTATGACTTTGTTTGCTTTATAACGCTGTGGGGTAAACCATATTTAAAGGGACTATTTGTGTTTTTTAAATTTATGCTATTTTAAATTCATATCTTACCAATATTGGATAACTGAGGTTGTGAGTTCGAAACCCACTCCCACAGAGTGCCACTGAGCAAAGACCCTTAACCCCACACTGCTCCCCAGGCACCACAAATTGCAGCTCGCTGCTCCCCAAGGGGGTGGGTTAAATGCAGAGAGTTAATTTTGTTGCTCTGTACTTGTGACAGTGTAACGACACAAAAAATTCTGGAAAAACGTTGCTTGCATCCTTATTTAGTATAAACATTGTACTATTTGATAATATACATTTAAAAAGTGTATTTTTACACATTTATTAATCAATATTGTGTCTAAGACATAAACAACTATGAATTACTGCAACATTTAATTTCCCTTTGGGATTAGGATTTTTGATTTTAATTTATGTGTCACAATTCATTAGAGTAGATTTAAATCTTAGTGTTTTACTGTTTTTGTTTGTTTCTCTGTCAGGTCTGCAGGATGGAACAATTACTTTACCTTGAAGCAATATGATTTAATCCCAGACAAATTTGTATTTTTTTTATTTTGCATGTTTCTGTACCAAGGCATGCAGCATCAGTAAACTAGAAAATCCACCTTGGTAACTGTGGGCTTCTATGGTTGTGAAAATATCAATAAAATATCCTACTGTTTAATTTCTAAGGAAATATACAATTTAATGTATCAGAAAGTTTATTAGTATTTTTTATCAAGTTTTGATTGTTAAAAGAAAAAAAAGTGGGAGAAAAAAAAACAAATACTTGCATAAAATAAGCAAAATCAGTAAATATAAGCAGAATTCTGTATTTATCTACTATTGAAATACTAATGCCCTTTGCTTTAATTTTTGTATTCATCAAATTGCACAGAATAAATGTTGCTCTAATAGTAAAATATTTAAATTGAAGAAAAAAATATGTATTTTTAACTCTAGATGGTGAAACATTTAAATAGTATTTTAACTCTGGAAGACAAAAAAAAAAAACACAGTGTAATTTCAGTCATATATAAAGAATAAGAGTGAAAAAAACATTTGAGTTTTTGTGTATATTTGCAGGTGGAGATCTTAAAATCAGACTCCAGAGCATTTAGAGGCAAGGTCTTCAACATGGGGCAGGAGCCCCCTAGTGGGCGACTGAGGTCCTGCAGGAAGACTCGTGCTGTTGTTCAATGAAGCCCTCCTGATACAGAGGGAAGGGTAACAGCAGGGATTATGAAGTAAAATGGGATATATCCTCAGACAGTGAATACTGAAACCAACCTAGTCATGACATCACTCAGTTTATTAAACCTTTAGACACTCTGTGACACAGGTGTGTCTGCAGATGATGACAGAAGTCACATTTAAAGTAGAAAGTGTACTTTTATTATTTCAAACTTTACTTTACACCCATCAAGTTCTGGACCTCATACCCGTCTCCTTTATTCTCACATTCCGTCTCACTTATTGTCAAAAAAAAAAAAAAGAGAAAAAGAATCTTCAAAGCGTCTTTCTGATGAGAATCAATAAACGAGCCGCTCGGTTTAACGTCTTCTACGTATTACAGAGGAGAAATACTGCAGTTCCTCCAAAGAAAAATGGAAACAAGAGGGTATATACAGAAGGAGAGAACAAGGGAAACTGGTATGAAGCTAAACAAAGGTATGTGACCCCCCCCCCCGTTAATGTGACCCCCTATTTTTGTAAATGGCACCAACGAAACAATCATCGGCTGGTTATTTACATGCACACTACTCCTTCCCAACCCCACAGAAATAAAAAAAAGACACTAATGCCTCATCCCAAAGCCATCTGATCAATGCCTAACTGATGAGCTTGGTACCTTTTATTGTCATGACATTGCATGGAGGGATAGCAGCTGCTTTTTAGTCCGAAAATAACACCAGTTTGTGAGATTATTGCACGGCAGCCCTCCCACTTTGATTACTTTTTGAATCGATATTCCATATTATGGAGACAAATACAGAATAATGCAGGGTTGATTCATCATGAGCTGTGGTTGACACCCTCATCTTAGGTGTGCAGGTGGGGAGAAGGAAAGACGGCTTTGGGAAGAGGAAACTGCAGGACTGCTCTAGCTTAACATCACACTCTAAAACAACAGCAGGTACGAGCCTTGCCTCGGTTTACGATGTGACCCCGCCCCTCCTAAACATCCATACACTGGAAAATTCACCCGAACAAGAAAACAAACCAATATAGACGCGCAAAAGTGGTCATAGAGTCCAGGGTGCAACCGCAGAGCACCATCTCCTATCAGACACACACACACACACACACTCAGGAGGAAGCATTTAGAGCTGGCAGTTTTTAGGGGATCTTCTCTCCTCTTCCACCCAGCATGCTGGTTCTTCCCTGAGCTCCTGCAAACGGTCGTTTCAGGGATGATTTCCTTCTCGTTCTTCAGACACAAACATTTAAACACGTCTCTCCTCCTGAGCTCAAAAAAAGTCTTCTTCTCGGGGTAAAAAACTGTGACACAAAAGAGTGAGTGTAATCATGACTCATGATGACCTGTTGCTGCTTTCTTTCCATCCACAGTGACAACTTCAGCTTAGGGCCTCAAGGGGGCGCTACAGACACTTAACCAGCCCTGAAAAGAGAAGATGATGAGATGAGAGAATTAGTTGATATAAAAAAGTGACCCTACATGACTATGTAGTGAAAGGAAAATCATACAAGTTTGTTTTTTATTTACTTTTAAAACCAAATGAAAAAATAAACTGTTGTCTTTATTTCTCTTTGGCCTTTTTCACATATTCCTGTTGGATAAGTATCCTAATCTCAGTTATCAATTTTCCAGCCTTGGTGCAGATTCTGGATGTCTAGACTTTGACTAGGCCATTCTGACTCATCAATATGCTTGAATCTAGTCCAGTGTAGCTCCAGCTCAGGGGTCTGTAAACTTTATAATCCAAAGAGTCATTTGTGACTTCAGTCCAGCTAAAAAACTTGTTTAAAGCAGCAAACATTGCAGGGCCTTATAACTTATATTTAATAAATATCTACAAATGGAGATTTTTCTTTTTTTAAAACAAGAATTTAAAATTTTAGTATTTAAAATGATTGGAAATGATGGAACTTCTCAATGGGCTGGTGGTATTTTGGAAAATTATGTATAGAAAACATTTTTCCTCCTTAAAAAAGACAAAAAATATCTATTTTTTAATAAGAGTCAATTTATTTTTAGAATACTAAAAAAAATGTATGTTTTTCTTATAGAACAGAACTTGAGTTCTAAACAGTACATGATCTTTCTTTAAAGAAAATAAAAAAAAGATAACTTAGATTTAACACATATATTTAAAAAATATATCTTAAAAAACTATTTTCACCCAAATTAAAAATGATTTTCTAGGGGCTACTCAGTGAAACAGTGGGTAGCACTGCTGCCTTGCAGCAAGAAGGTTCTGGGTTAAATTCCTGGCCCGGAGTCTTTCTGCATGGAGTTTGCATGTTCTTCCTGAGCATGCGTGGGTTCTCTCTGGGTACTCCAGCTTCCTCCCACAGTCCAAAAACATGACTGTTAGTTTAATTGGCTTCTCTAAATTCTCTTTAGGTGTGAGTGTGTGCATGAATGGCTGTTTGTCCTGTTTGTCTCTGTGTTGCCCTGCGATGGACTGGCGACCTGTCCTGGTGTACCCTGCCTCTCATCTGTAGACAGCTGGAGATAGGCACCAGCACCCATCACGACCCCAGCAGGGATAAGTGTGACGGAAAATGCAGTGGAGAAAATGATGCAATATGCATTTTATAGTATATCTATTGTTCAAAAAATTAGCCCTTTCTTCATCATGTTTAGCCAAAGTGACGAAGAGCCAATATTGAGTGTCTTAAGGGCCACTTGCAGCTCAAGGGCAACAAGTTGTAGACCCCTGCTCTAGCTCTACGTTTTGATTGTCCTTCAGCTGGAAAGATTAAGTTTAAAGCTCTAGCAGTCATTAGATCATTGCTTAACTGCAGCCATAGTCTGCAGGTATGCCACACATCCTTTAGTTTCCACTGGTGGCTTCAAAAGTGCTGCCGTTAGGTATTGTATTAGTCCCTTAACTTGCTTCTATATATCCTTTCTATCTCTAGCAAATGGAGTTACTGGTTATTGGAGTTATTGCATATCGGAAAAAAAGGGACTTAAATATAACTAGATGCAAGGTTTTATCAGGCACATTTCATTTTTCTCCTATTTATGCCAGTCAGATATACAAATCCCAATAAATTCAAATTCTATGGCAAAAAAAAAGAGAATACTTACGTGTAAAGAGGCTGCAGCTGCAGGTGAGAGGACTTCTGAGGTGGCTGGTAGCCGTATGAGTCAAACCCACCAATGAAATCAACTGAAAAAAGCACAGAAACATTGTCTTAAAACAGAATCTTTCCCCCTATTGTATTTTAATCTAAATAGCGTTCATAGAGAGAGTCTACAAAGTCATTTGATAGTATTGTGTGTTTATGCTGCAAACCTGCTGTAAATTCTAAACACAGTAACCTTCACAGTTATTGCCCCCCTTGGGGAAAGCGTACAAAGGCCTTTAAATGAACTGTTCTGCATTTTAACTGAATGTTGTTTTGAAGCGTTTTAAAGCATGTTTAGGAGAAATAATCCACTCCTCATCATGGGAAAGAAGAGAGAATCTCCCTCAGTTATCCCTCTGGGGGGAAACGTAATAAAAGTAGTTCACCAGTACAAACGCAGCACCTTATTCTTTCCCTTTATGTGTCGCATGTTGCTTTCAGCTCTATGGAACCGCACAATTACACTAATATATTGTTCTTAAAATCCAGAAAAGAAGACTCTACAGACCGGATTATTTACTACTGCGAAATAAAATTTTTGGACTTTTGCCACATTTCCGGCTTCACATATAAATGTATAAAATTGTAATTTTTTTATGAAGATTCAACAATAAGTGGGATACGATCATGAAGTGGGACAAAAAGCATTGGATATTTAACTTTTTTTTTTTTAACCAATAAAAAAACTGAAGAGTGGAGCGCGCAAAATAATCGGCCCCTTTTCTTTCAGTGCAGAAAACTCTGTCCAGAAGTTCAGTGAGGATCTCTGAAGGATCTATTGTTGACCTAAATGACCGATGATGTTAATATAGAATCCACCTGTGTGTCATCACGTCTGTGCATAAATGCACCTGCTCTGTAATCGTCTCAGAGGTCTTTTTAAACCACATAAAGCATCATGAAGAACAAGGAACGCACCCGTCAGATCTGAGATAATGTTGTGGAGAAGTTTAAAGCCAGATTTGGATAGAAAAACATTTCCTAAGCTTTAAGCATCCCAAGCAGCACTGTGCGAGCGATAATATTGAGCATGTACTATATTAAAACATTGTAGCTACATGTTAGGGATGGTTAGATGAGTCATTGAAATGTTTGGGCAAATTGCTTCAACGATCCCCACAGTTCATGAAGCTTCATGTTAACATGTCACCCCCTACTGGTGGAATGCAGAACTAGTTAGTTATATAATCTGTGATATTTTGCCAATGTTTTTCTTTTTTTTTCATTTAAGTTCCATTGAAATTGTTAAAGACTGGTGTGTATAATAAAATCATTTGTAAGTTTTTTGAGTGTTAATTTTTTTTAGAAGAGAACAATCAGTTAAGGTGCACTGTTTCTTCTGTAATTTTAGTGAAATGAGCTCAAGCAGACAGTGAAAGTGTGCAAGTTGGGCAGTAATGAGCTAAACGAAAAGTGTTAGTCATTTTATTAAAAAATAATAATTTTTCCAGTGTTTTTGGTTTTAATCGGGTTGGAAGTTATGTGTTTAACCAATATTTTAGCTAAACCAACAAATCTAATCGGTGCGTTAACCCAATCTATATTTACACTAGGGCAAACCAATACAAATTAGCCACATTAGCCAAAATACTTGTTAAGTATTACCACAACTTTCAAATTTCTGATGTGGGTCTCGAACCAACAACCTCAGGAGAGGAAGTCCATATGTGACATCTGCTACCAATAGCAGTGGTAACTGGACACTAGAAAGTAATACTATTTAACACTAAGGTTACAACTGTGATCAAAGGCTTGGTCAGGTTTTGATCATTTCATTGTTTAATCAAACCAAAACAGTTTGAACCAACTAGATTGGTTGTTTTTCCAACCAATCTATTCTTAGAACTACCCAAAATCTACCCAACTGACCGCAACTCTCCTACAAACTCCCACATCTTGACTGAATACTGAGCCAGTTTAAATGCCTTCGAACGTCATCTATTTTGGCTCCTCCCCCAAATGAAGCAAGGCAAGGCAAATGTATTTGTATAGCACAATTCAGTACAAACACAATGCAAAGTGCTTTACATGATTAAGATATAGGAAAATAAAACAGAATCAAAACAAGTAGGAAAAAAAAAAAATTTGTTTAAGACTCCAACAATGACATCTTAACCAACTTCTGTCAACCCTGTTGACTTTATAGGTCCCGGACCTATTTATTTCAAACACAACGTTGTTTTTTCAAACCACACGATCCCTGACCTTGACACAATATTGTACCCACAGGATCCCTGAAGCAAGCCCCCTCCACTACTCAACACACGCTCATCTCATTGCCTAAACTGCAGTCCATTTCACATGTAACGGTAACTTTTAAGGAAATGCAACTTCTCTTTTAAGAATATTCATGTGTAATTGAACCGTCCTAAGCCTGTCCTGTGTGTAATCTGCTGTTGAGTCTGTTCTGTTTGTAATGCTTGTCTTATTTTTATTTTAAATTCAATGTTAACATTAACCTGTCCAGTTATTACAGATTAGCCAAGGACAACAAGCTGGCATATTCACATGTGATATGTATGTTCATTAACATATGCTGTCCCCTTTTAATTAAATAAACAAAAGGACATTTTTTACAGAGTAACAGGAGCAAGAATAGCTTTAAATATTGTGTTTCTATAATTGATTTATGTGTTTATTCATTTAATCTACTTTTTTTTTATTCTATTAACTGTATTTGGTAACATGAATGGCTGAGAAGCCTGGTGACTTAATACTGGAGAAGGGGTCGCTTGTACATGACGTGACTAAAATTGTTAATATGGAAAGGGGGAAGTCACAAATAAGCGATGTCTTTCTGCCATCTCCTTTTAGGTTAGCAAAGAAAATATTTTGTCCAGTATTTGCCAAAAACTGTTGCTCAGATAAACCTGATGAGATTTCTTTTGCCTCTATGTAGGTACTCACTTTTCCTAGTTCTGTCTTTTAGCGTATTCAAAATTCTAGTGTTTTGTTGATTTTTTGCTTAGCCAGGACTCCCTATAAAAAGACAGAATTAATCTTAATTAAGTCTTCCTAAGCCAGATTGATCTGCTCAGTGCAATCTGAATTCTCCACAGAATTCCTCTGGAAAGGCTCCCGTTAAAAGCGTTTGCAATAAGGAGGGACATTCAGAACAATTCTTCAAACTGATTGGCTAACTCACCAAGCGGCTCCTGCCTCCAATGCCAATATTTTAGTCAGTAACAGAAATAGTAGCAGCTGTGACGTATCACCTTCTTAATTTATTTCACAACTAGCAGATTTAAGAGATAAATCCAACTCTTACTAAATTCGGTAAAAAGGAACGCCCATCAACCAATAGAAAGGCAACTGCAATCATTTTGCATGTTTTCCAAAAAACGAACTAGCGGTTATTCCAGTTAAAATAGACCTAATAGTAGAGTCTATTAGGAAATCTACCAAGGCAGCCATATTGTTTTTTTTGTTTTTTTTGCTTCACCCTCCCACTTCTAGTTGTCATACACATCGCTGCATTTCATTGGTCTAAAACATTTCTGTATTCAAGGCTTACGCATCTATTGGCTTCTGGCAAGATGTATTTTCATGAGTGTGTGAATTAACAAATCTGGTGTCGATTCATCTTAATTCCAGGGTAAAGTCTTCCTGGTAAGACAACGCTTTAGGGGGAGTGGCGGCCTAGTTGTTAGGGCATAGAGCTTGGAATCCTTAGGTTCTGAGTTCGAGCCCCACTGCCACTCTGGGTCCCCCGATTGCTCCCTGGGCACCGCACAATGGTAGCCCACTGCTTCCCAAGGGGATGGGTTAAATGTAGAGGTAAACTTCTCCAATGTGAGATCAATAAGGTTCAATTATTATTATTAAGCTTTAAAGCAAAACCGTGTAACTATCAGCCACTGGGGGCGCTAGACTAATAACTTTCCTGATAGGCGCCCCTGAAAGCAACTGGTAACACGCCAATATTGCGATATTAAACTGTTCTGCTGTGTGTTTTGGACGCTGATAGCAGAACATTTCAGACCGAATAAACGCACCAAAATTATAGCAACGACAATAAAATAATATAAATAATAAATAGTAATAAGTATAATAATAAATGAACTAATAATCTATTAAAGACAGAATAAAAAACTGATAGAGATTATTAACATTAGTCATACAACAGCTGACCGTTTTCATGCCCTTCATCATTTCCCGTATCCCTCTAAGTGAGAATAAAACGCAGATGAGAAAGCCCCGTCAGACTCACAGATGGCCAACCCGCCAGACGGCCTCAGCAGTGATGGGAGCATTCCTGCCCATAATACTCCCCACAGATGGGAAGCTCAGATAAACCCAGAGGGAATCCTGAAGGCTAAGATCTCAAAGTATGACTCATGCAGGGGGGTAAACTATGAGATAGCATCTTTCCCACTCACAGCTCTTATTCTTCCCCCTCACCACTGCTCCTCAAAAGAAAACCCTTGATGGGAGGACAAGTGGTCCTGATAAAGCGAACGAGACACTAGAAGACCATCAGAGAGCACTCACAGCTGTCCTCGTCATCTTGGAAGACTTTGCTCACGTAGCAGGCGTACACGAAGCCAAAGAGCTGTTGAACAACAATAATAAAAAAAGATTACAGTCATGAAAAATCTCAACAGATTCCAAATCTACAGAAAGTCAGATACTTACAGCCAAAAGGATCTGAATGGCTGAACTCAACACCTCGATGTACTGGTAGTCGAGGAGGCACCCCGACACCGTGATGACGTGATGGTCGTCGGGGGCCATCTGAGCGTCCAGCACTGGTGTCACAAGGCAGCCGGGGCCGTGCTCCATCCACCAGGAGCGATGGAGGGATGTGTTGAAGGTCATGAGAAAGTCTCTGTCCTGGACAGGCGGAGAGCAGACGTCAGTCTTTAGACATTACAACGTTTTTTACGCTAGAGGAGCAGCTCTGATTGCTCCTCACATCCTCTAAACAGGCCAGATACCTTTTAAAGATCATATATTATTAAAGATGGATAGAAACAACTGATCTAATTTTCAAAAGTTCATTAATAGGAATTGCACTAAAAAAGTGCATATCTTCATCACCTTTAGGCCTACCTGTCTGTCTAAAACACCATTTTCAATAATCTTATATCCCCAACTCATCCCATCTTTTGACACAAGAGGTGAATTAGATCAAACTGGATTTCATCTCCTAACATTTTTTATTTGTTTTATTTGTTGACTGAAGTGTCACGTTGCTTTTATCCTTGTTTTAACATCAGCTGGAGTGAATTTTATTTAGCTTCTAGCTAGGAAAAAAAGGTTTTGGGCATAATTGAGGTTTAAAACCCATAATTTTCATCTAAAATCCTCCAACAGAATATAATATCTTGTCATGCAGAGCTAATAATACGGCTTCTAGTAGAATTCTTAATCCTTTTACAGTAATGACCTTTTGTTTCCTGAAAGAAGGAGATCATTGTGATATAGAGGATGTTTTTCAAAGACAGGTGTTAAATGACAGTTGCTGATTTGTGTTTTACCTGAGACAGGTTTCCCACTTCCAGGTAGAAACAAATAATGAAGGAGTTCCACCCCACCCAAAGGACCAGCC